CCGCCGCCTCCCCCTCCGCTAGGCGGCCGTTCGTCCCGCTCCATGCGGTGGTGCTCAGGGCCCGCGCTCGGTTCGCTGCTCCGCCATGACCGACGCCCTCGTCCTAATCGTCGCCGTCGTCCGCCGGGGGGGAGGAGGCTGTCAGGGGCCGGCGGGCTCCCGGCCGCGGCGCTCTCTGGGCCCCGAGCCGCCCGGCTCCGCGCCCCTCCGCGCCGCGCCCCCTCAGCACTGGCCAGCTCCCTCCCCCGACGTCACGCGCCGCTGCCACGCACGGGCCTGAGGGGCACGCTGGGAATTGAAGTGCGCCTGGCGAGGCTCGCCACGCGGGACCCCACCAACCGAAGGGGTGAGAGATAGGATAAGCAGCCCTAAGAGGTGGAGGCCAAGGCCTGTCAGTGTCACAAGCCGTGATAAAAACTTCTGGTGAAATTTAAAGAATTTGACAAATCAGGGCCTTCTCTTTATTTGATTTTTCCAATATCAAAGTTCCCTACGAATCCCGTATCCCCCCACCTAGATAATGAGTCTTTCCCAGGGGCGGATCGCGAAGGAGCTGGGTGAGCACGTGCAGTGAAGCCCAGCCCTGTGGGCGGGGCCTCGGGGGCAGAGTTTGGGGATATTCACGAGGGACTTCCTCCGCGACTTCGGGACAAATTGGACCAGAGATTAAAGGGCTGGGGTTTAACTCCAGGTGACTGCGTTCGTATGCAAATTGGAATCTATAAAACTCTGCTTCCCGGGGTACTCTTAAAAGCCTTTTACCTCCGGGTGGGCGGGAAAGACTACGGTTTCTCTTCCTCCTCTTTCATTTCCCCTGCCCAACGGAATGGCAAAGCTCCAGGCCATTGATGCCTTTTTTTTTTTTTAAAGATTTTATTTATTTACTCATGACAGACACAGAGAGAGGGAGAGGGAGAAGCAGGCTCGATGCAGGAGCCCCACGCGGGACTCGATCCCGGGTCTCCAGGATCACACCCTGGGCTGAAGGCGGCGCCAAACCGCGGGGCCACCGGGGCTGCCCCCATTGATGCCTTTAAAGAAACTCTGACGCTTGACCGTTAGTCTCATGAAACCTTCCGCTTGAGAAGCTCCTTGCCCAGCCTTATTCGCCCTCCCTTCTCCTCGGTTACCCTATCTGTAAAATGGGGTTAGAATAGGGACGAGGGTTCAAATGGAAGATCACAAGCCCCACCCACCCCCGCCGGTATCCCCGCCTCAGTTTCCCCAGAGCAAAATGCCGGATTTTGCGGTCCCCTGCTCTCGGCTGAGCCGTACCTCCTGCGGTCACCAGGTGGCGCGCAGCCACCAGCTTCTGGGCTTGCCCGGGTGTCCGCCCTCGGCGACCCTCTCAGGGAAGGACTTAACGTGCCTGCCGCCCCAGGTCTAACTCAGCCCTACCTGGCCTGCTTGAAGACAAAAACAAGAACTCTGGTGCTTTGCCCGCCTCTGCTCTGCGGAGTCATGCCACAGTGCCCTCATGGCTGCCCTTCCTCACCACCCCCCTATCCCGCCCTAGCAATCCATTGGTTCATCTGTCATTCCTTGCTTAATTTTTAAAAAAATCCTTATCCTGGGTAGCCCTGGTGGCTCAGTGATTTAGCGCCGCCTTGAGCCCAGGGCGTGATCCTGGAGACCCAGGATCAAGTCCCACGTCGGGTTCCATGTATGGAGCCTGCTTCTCCTTCTGCCTGTGTCTCTGCCTCTCTCTCTCTCCCCCTGTGTCTGTCATGAATAAATAAATAAAATCGTTTAAAAAATAAAATAAAAATCCTTATCCTGGCATTTACACTCCTGCCTTGTCTGACTCCACACATTTCTCATCACATCCCATCTCTCACCTGCTACACAGGATATTTTGCAAAGCTTCCTTGCACTTTGAAGGTGGCTGTTCTTACCAACATTGATTAATCTGTATCATATATTTCATCTGTGCTGGCCATTTCCTGGGAGATTTAAGTTAACACTGTGTTGTCTAAATCTTACACCTGCTCTATGAGGTAGCTCCAATATTGTCTCCGTGATACACTGATGAAGTCACCCAGCACTAATGGGGATTCCAAACCTAGTGTGTCAGACATCAGTACCTGAACCTTGGCTCCTTCAAGCTGGAACTCTGCTGGTTTCACCCAACCCACTCCCAAACTCCCATTCATCTTTCAAGATCCTGTTTAAATATGTCCTCGGGGACACTTTTTAAAATACTTCCCATGAGGTGACACCTAGATCCCCTCTAATTGCTTCCCTACTACCATTTCCCAGCCCAAGAGCAAGGGAGAAGTTTAGTGTGGTGTGAGGGAGAGAAGGGCAGAAGAGATGGATCCTCTGGGTCATACCTTCAGCTCTGAGTTCTAAAATGTGTCAGGACATTGTGGCTTTCCTAGGCCTTCCAGAACTTCCCTTTCTATCACGAACCTCTGGAGGTAGTGAGGTCCCCATCCCTGGAGATCCATTCAAAGGCTAAGTGGCACTGCAGAAACCTCCTGAAAGCCTGAGGTTTCAGTGGTGGACAGATTCCAAGTTGACCTTCAGAGATAGGCCAAAAAATGCAGCCAAATACTCAACCCTTGGAAGCAACTCATCCTCTTCCTTCACTCCAGCTTTGTTGCCACTTCCTCCTAAAAAGCTTCTCTAGATCTGACTAGTCCAATCCCTTTATTCTCTCCCTCATCATTATAACCCAGTGCTGAGCACAGAGCCTGAACACAATAAATAATTGCTAAGTGGGTGAAAGGATGAATAAAACAAATCAGACTTTTCTACTTAGTAACTGTGACCTTGGGCTAAGTATTACTTCTAAGCCTCAATGTCCTGGTTTCTAAAGGGAGGAAGGGAAAATACTGATAGTGGCTATTTCACAGGATCTTTATGAGAATTAACATCATGCATGCAAAGCCATTAATATAAGGCTTGGCCTGATAAATGGGATATTAAAGAGCTATCCTAATTCCCATTCACGTCTCTGAAAATGCTCCTTGGGAAGCGTTAACTACCATGAAACTGAGAAAGGTGAGGGAAATGACAATGTACTGAGACCCCAGCCACTGTCCTAAACATACAGAGTCCTATGAGGTAGGCACCTACCATGTGTCCGGCAACTACTATGGGACCTTTTCCCTACAGTGTCCCCCACACTCTAACGATCCTGAGAAGTCAGTACTTTCCCCCAGTTTACAAATGAGGAAACAGGCTCAGAAAGACAAATGGAAAAGATTCTCATCCTGGGCAGGACTCCTGACAGAAGTGCTGGAAAGGAGGAAAATATTTAAGGATGAGGAGGGATCTTCAGGGGAGTAGTCCTGAGGCCACAGGCAGACAGAGAAACCGGACAAAACAGGGGTACAGTTAAGAATAAAACAGGTTTGGGCAGCCCCCGTGGCTCAGTGGTTTAAGCGCCGCCTTCAGTCCGGGGCGTGATCCTGCAGACCCGGGATCAAGTCCCACATCCGGTTCCCTGCATGGAGCCTGCTTTTCCCTCTGCCTCTCTCTTCTCTCTCTGTGTGTCTCTCATGAATAAATAAAATGAAATCTTAAAAAAAAAAAGAATCATTTAAGAACAAACAAACAAACAAACAAAAAAAAGAACAAAGCAGGTTTGAGCCTCATCGTGAGGGCTTTGCCCAGTGGTGGTGGAGACAGACACTAATCAGATCAAATAACCACACAAACCCATGAGTGCACATAAGTTCCGCGAGTGAGAACACACCTAGAAGTTCCTTGTGCTGTGGGAATGTGTGATAGGGGGATGTGTGTTCATTTTGGTTGGGGGTGAAGATGAGGGGAAGCTTTCTGGGATATGAAACATTGAAATAAGAAGGGAAGAATGAGTAGGAGTGAGTAAGACAGCAGAGAGAATTTCGGGAGGAAGGAACAGCATATGCAAAGGTCCCAAGGCCAAGTGGGAACTGAGAGAATCCATTTGTGATGTGCCTGCTGAGGGAAAGAGGAGTTGGAGAGAAGGGTGAAAAGGAAGAAAGCAGAGATGATGGGGCCATGTTGTGGAACAGCCAGCACAGGGCAGAGTCTAGGGCAATTTATTCTGTGGAAGAAATTCCAGATCCCAGCCAGAGAGTCAGAGCCAGGCTGCATGAGGACAAAGGTCTGGGAAACGGAACCTCTGTGCAGTTCTGTGTAAGTCCTTTTTGTCTATTATTTGAATAGACAGGACACACATTACAAAATTCCCAATGCAAAAAAAAAGTATTCAATGAAAAGTAAAGCTTTCTCCTTACTCTGTTTCCTAACAGTTTCTTCCCTTCTGAGCAATAACCACCATACTGGTTTATTGTGTGTCCATTCGCAGCTATTCTATGCACATAAGAACACACACCAGGGGTACCTGGGTGGCTCAGTTGGCTAAGCTTCTGCCTTCTACTCAGGTCAGGATCCCAGGGTCTTAGGATCAAGCCCTGCATCCTCGGCTTCCAGCTCAGCAGGGAATATGCTTCTTCCTCTGCCCCTCCCCCTACTCATGCTTGAGTGCGCTCTCTCTCTCTCAAATAAATAAAATCTTTTTCTAAAAAAGCATACACACACCCCATATTTATTTTTTTATACTAACCCAGCCCTGGTTTTGACATGTCCCCAGATTTCTAGTCATGAAAGAAGCTAATTTGTACTGAACACCTGCTGCACATGACTTGTTAATGCAGCTCAGAGTTAGAGGGTACCAGACATTGTGCTAGGGTAGTAGTTCTCAAACTATAAATCCTTTGGAGGGCTTGTTAAAACACAGATTTCTGGGCAGCCGCGGTGGCGCAGTGGTTTAGCACCTCCTGCAGCCCAGGGTGTGATCCTGGAGACCCTGGATCAAGTCCCACGTCAGGCTCTCTGTATGATGCCTGCTTCTCCCTCTGCCTGTGTCTCTGCCTCTCTCTCTATGAATAAATAAATAAAATCTTAAACACACACACACACACACACAGATTTCTGGGCCTCATCCCCTAGAGTTTCTGCTTCCTGAGATCTGGGGTAGAGCCTAAGAATTTGCATTTCTAAGTTTCCAGGTGGTGCTGAGGCTGCTGGTCCTGGAACCACACTTCAAGACTACTCAGCTAGCATTTTCATGCACGAGGTATGTGCACTGTTGACTTACATCTCTCCCACAAGGGAAGGCATAAAAGACACAAGGAAACACACATACCAGAAAGTTTCATGGGGTGATAAATTCTAAGAAGAAAATGAACAGGGGAAGGAATATGCTTTAGGGGGGATGTGCTTGAGAGTAGCAGTAACATAGAACATCTGGGGCACAACTGAAGGTTCCTTTTTTGAGCAGTTGAAGTTTACAAGGGCAAGTAAACAGACACAGGTGGAACGGTCATGGGATCAGGGGATGGTCACCTACAGAGTCAGTGCTGAGAGGTCAGAGAAGGCCATCTGGCACCCTGGGGTGCAGAGGTAGAAGGACCTGCAAAGTGACGGCGAAGGAGCACAGCATAAGGTAACACGGGGAAACCAAGAGAGGAGAAGGTTTGAGAAGGAGGCATGAACAAGAGCTGCTGATTCTGGGAGAGTAAAGAGGTGCCGCCTTGGGTGTGGTTACAGGAGCTCCCGAGGACCTCAACAAAGGACCTCAACAAGCCACCTCCCAAGCGAGACCGTCCTGGAGCGAGGGGATGGGCAGGGAACCTGCATGACGACCGGAGGCGGCTTCTTTTCAAAATTTTTCTGCCTGGGAACAGAAGAAAGGAAGCGCTCCCTCCTGAGGATGGGAGGAGGGAGTTTAAACGGCAGGAGCTACTGGAGTTTAGCTGGGAGTCGACGGGAGGAATTTTGGAGGGAAGAGGAAAAGAAACAAGCGAGAGAGGTGGGTCTGAGCCGTCAGAAAAGTAGAGCTGGCGGGGTCTGGGTGTTGGGAGAGCTCAAAGGCTCACAGGCCCTGGAAACATCACTCATCTGAACTTTGCAACCATTCCAAAAGGAAAGCACTATTTCCCCCACTTTCCAGATGAGGAAACTGAGGCTCAAAGAGGCGAAGGGACACGCCCAAGGACCCACATCTCATAGAACCGGACTCTGTCGGTTCCGGGTCGGAACAAGACCCTTTTTTGTGTCCTTGCAGGGATGCCCTTCGGAGAGCCGCCCAATGGCGCAGTGGCCCCGCGAAGGGCCGGGCGGGGCGGGATGCCCCCTCCACCCTAGCTCCGCCCCCGGCGGCGCGGGAGGGGGCGCCGGGCGGGGGGCGCGCCGCGCGGGCTTTGCTGGCTGCCGCGCGGAGCTCGCAGTGCTACCCGCGCCGCCCAGCCTCCGCGCTCAGCTGTCCGTGCCCACCGTGCGCATCCCGCCATGGCCGTGGCCGCCCTCCCGGCCCGGTCCCGGCCCCGGCCCCGGCCGTTGCCCCTGCTGCTGCTGCCGCCAGTGCTGCTGCTGCTGCTGCTGCTGCCGCCGCGCGCCGGCCGGGTGCGCGCTGACAGTAAGGTACGGCGCGGCTCTCCTACCCGGGCTCAGCTCCGCGGGGAGCCGGGCGCGAGGGGGCGCTGTGGCTGGGGTGCGGACCGAGTAGGGTGTGGGGCCAGGAGCTGAGGACCAGGAGAGGGGAGACCCGACGGGCTCAGCACAGAAGCCACTCGAGAGCCACGACGCAGGGAGAGGAGCGCGTGGTGGAAGAAGCAATGGAGATGGTAGGGGTACCTGGGACCTGTGGTCTCAGGAAGGGCTCTGGGACCTAGGCAGTGCAGAGAGGAGATCAGCACTGAGTCCCAGGGCCAGGAAGTCGGGACCCTGGGAGTTTGGAGGGGATGCAGACAAGAGATGCAGTCCCTACCCTAGGGAAGCGATTCCCTGGAGCGCTGGGCAGGGGCAGTGTGGAAATCTGGCTCAAAGTTTCCATGGGAGGCTGCCCCATATGGGGCAGACCCCTGGGTAACTGCTACCCATGGACTCCCAGGTTTGCAACAGACCCTAAGCCAAGGCTTTCAGGCCGTGCTGAGGACCCAGAGTTCCCACCCAATAAACCTAGTGCGCTGACCACTCGCCTGGCCCCTGGTAGTCCTGCCAGGGATCTAATGCACCCTCTGGAGGTCACTGAGTTTCCAGAAGGGACCTGAGCTCTTCTCAGTTGCAGCTAAAAGGATCTGCTCTGGTGTCAAACAGCCCTGAATTCAGATCTCCACTCTACCTCTCAGCTGGGTGACCTTGGGCCTTTATTTCTCCCTTTACTCATTTGTAAATATGTAATAGTCTCCCTTTACTCATTCGTAAATATGGGAATAATAACAGTTCCCACTTGTAAATATGTAATAGTCTCCCTTTACTCATTTGTAAATATGGGAATAATAATAGTTCCCACTTCCTGCAGTTGGTGATCTTTACCTAGGTCATGCCTGGAAAATGTTTAGCACCACACCTGATACCTAGTCAGTGCCCAATAAATCATGCTATAGCTATGAAATCTTACTAGGGGAACCCAAAATAGCTGGTCAGAGCAGGGACCCTTTGAGGGTGTTCTGGAAATGACCCAGTAAGGACGAGAAGGGGACTGGGAATGAATGAGGGCCAGGAATAAGGTAGAACCCTGCTTGTGGAGCATAGGAGCAAAAGAGCAGCTTTTCTTGATGTCTCTCCCACCTCTTACCTGGGTAGAAGGTGAGGCTGCACTGTCTGCAGGCAAGGTAAAGGGCAGAAGTCACTAGCCACATGGTAAGTATGTGAGCACTGGGCACCCACAGACCCACATCCTGAAGATCCAGCTCTGGGTATGAGAACAGGCGAGCTGCAGTCCTGACCATGTGCTCCATAGACAAGAAGGGAATGAGTATCATTCCTATTTTACAGATGTTGGAAATAGGGTGTATAGACAAGTCACTAGCTTGTGGTTCAAAAAACTTGGGTTCTGGCTCTTTGTTGTTCTTTGGTTGTGTGACCTTGGGCAAGTCACTACCTGCCTCTTGGCGTCACCCCATCTGAAAATGTCTGCCAACTTCCTTTCTGTGCAGGACCTTCTTGGATTCCTTGACCTAGCTCAGGTAGGGGAAGAGTGAGCAAAAAAAAAACCCCACGTGACCTGATCAATGCTTTGCCCCTCCCATTTCTCTGGCTGGGAGTACTCTTTGGTCCTGGGCATCCTCTGAGCCATGCAGAGGGCTGTAGAGCCTGTGGGGGAGGGCTAGCACTCAAAACAAAGCAAAGACAAAGAAAACCGAATACCCTGTTTATGTAGTGAGTCAGCCAAACACTTGCTAGGGTGTGTGCGTGTGTGTGTGTGTGTGTGTGTGTGTGTGTGTGTGTGTGTATTTAGTTGTTCCAGGGCAAGCTTGAGCTGGTGGGGTAGGGAGGCATACCCTAGAGTCTGGAGGATGAAGCAGCTGGGGGACACAGCACAGCTCTCCTTCAGACACCTCCCACCCCACACCACTTCAGCCAGCTGGGAAAAATAAAATCAAGTGATGGGTGAATTTACTCTGCATTCCTCAGCACAGCCGGTCTCCTGCTGGTTCTACAGGGAGAGCTGTTTTCATAATCACCCTCTCCCTCCCCCATAACCATCCTTCCTCTCCAAGCCTGTCCAATTTGGGGGCGGGGGAGGGGGAGAGCCCTACAAGGGCTGGGACTTGTAGTCTATCTTATCTAGGGCCCTAAAGGGTTACGTTGGCCCTTTCCTCAGGCTTCCTACTCCTGGGAGGTCCAATCCCCCCTCTTGCCCCATACTTTCACGGGTAAAGGGGCACTCAACCCCAGTACTCACCACAGAACTCTGTGGTCTCAGGCAGCTTCTCGCTCAGTATGTTTTAACTTCGTGTTTATAGCAAGGTCTCCTAAACAGGACTTGGAGTTTTCATCTAGGGAAGTGCTTGTCCAGCAATGGGAATGGGAGAGGGGGTTCACAGATTCCTTGGCCCCTCTGAGGGACTGCCCAGCTTGGAATTTGGGATGGAGAGACAGGTAACTACATGAATCCCAGGCATGGCACCTGGTAGCTTGCTTTCTGCTGTATGTCCTTGGAATATGGCTGAGAATTCCCTATTGCTACTTCAGTTTCCCCATTGGTGCCTCACTTCCTCCATGCATCCAGATGGGGGAAGGGGGTCTTTGGTCATCCCTGCCACTGACCAGGGGCCCAAGGACAGAGGGAAGGCCAAGGCTTGTGGGAACTGGGCCAGGGGAGTGGAGAGGCTGAAGCAGGCAGGCAGAGGTGTTGTAGGCTGGATCAGATGTTCTAGGCCAAGCTGGCCCTGGGGGTTAGGTGTCGCTGCGCCTCCACTCTGGGAGTTTCCGCCTGTAACTGTAATTGAAAACAGGCTCAGGGCAGACAGGGGATATAAATGATGAAGTCCTCCTTCTGTACAGAGAGCATAGGGCCTGGGCAGGCCCTGCAGGGTCTCTCCACAGGGAAATTCTTGCCTCAACATTCCCATTGGCTGGGGCACCCAGAACAAAGTACTGAGAAACACCCTCTGTGCCAAGCCCCATGCCCAGCACTTAAATCCAGAATCTTACACAACCCTGCTGCCAACACTCTGAGGCTTCAGTGGTTCCCCCCGCCCACCCCTTCCATTTGACAAGCTTGAACACGAAAGGTCAAAAGAGTCAAATGGAGGAGTTTGGAGAAACCTGGAATCTCAGCTTTCAGTGGGCATCCAGATAGCCTGTGTAAACCAGCGAGTGCGAGTTAAGAAGTGTGGGTTAAGGCCAGGGTACCTGCATTTTCCACGTGCATTCCAGGTCATTCCAAGGTACATCCCCCAGTTGAGAACTCATGGAGTTACAGGGAGCCATGGAGCAAGAAAGTAACAGATCACCAAAGAGGAGCTTTTGAGGGATTAAACTGGCAGAGAGGTGACTCCTGTCTCCCTAGAAGCAGTTAATGTGGTCTGAACTCAAGCTGTGGTCATGGAATGGAGAGCCAGAGATAGAGATGGGGGATATTTAGGATAAAGAAATGGAAGAACATGACTAAGGGTTTTTCCAGTGTAAAAAGAAGGCTCAGAGATCTGGGTTGGGTGGGAGGGTAGGTGGACATCAGTTGAGAAAAGATGCTGGTTCCAGTTTTGGATGGCTTAAGTTTAGGGGTCCTGTGCCATCCAAGGAGGTGTCCAGCTGGCAGTGGGCTCTAGGAGAGGTCTTTGCCTGCAGGAAGATATGGAAACTGGCTCTTAGTAAGTCTGGGTAGGCCACGAGAGAAGAGGGAAGACTCCACCTCAGAGTGACACAATTTGAATCTGCTCATTTCTAGAATATTTCACTACTTGAACCCCCCTCTTCCCACTGTGGCCAGCTTTATCCATCTTTCTTCAGAAAAATCTGAAGTATGCCCTCCTGCCATCTCATTGTAGGATTTCCTTGCAAATACCTAGAGGTGTTTTTAAGTTCGAACCACCTGCCCTTCTGGGGTCTTTGACAGAAGTGTGTGCTAAGTGAGGCTGTAGAGAGAGGTGGAGGCGCTAAGTCAGGGACTTTCCTGCTTCCCAACAGCTCCAGCCCTTATGCCCAGGGCAGGGTAGGCCAGGCCCAGTGGGAGCCCCAGGCCCTATACTGTCCCCTGTGACCCAACCCAAGGCCCTCTTCTTCATCACACTTCAGTTGTTGGAGAAGCCCTCACTGCTAATGATGGGGAGTCATGGAAGGAGCAGCAAGTAAACCAAATTTTTGGAGTCAAGCCGTTCATAGTGACCCTAGGCAAACCGCTAATCTTCTCAGATGCTCAGACTTTTCCTCTTTAAGATGGCATTGTGATGAGAGGAAGAAGAGATAGAAAATGACATGCTGACATGAGGGAGGGGTTTTGGCGGCCACTCAGATGGCAGTTACTTTGTGCCAGTTTTGGTGCCAGGTGCTCTGCATGCACTGACTCATTTCAGCCTCAGGACA